TAACATTTTTTACCTGATACCGATGTGAGTTAAAAATTCGCTCCAGTTCTGTTTGTCTCACCCAAGACTAACTTTTCTTCATGGAAGATAACTATGCCGCTTTATAACTCATCCGAAGTTTTTGTGCCATCTAAACAATATGGAAACACTATTCACAGTGACTCCTTGGATATTAAAAAGACTGAACGTGACGCACTATTATACCTTTGTTTACTTCTGATCACATCTTCAAGCGAAGTCTCTCTTTTCAAGCAATTTATCTCAATAGTTAAAACCCTATGGTTCATTTATATTAATGCTGTTTTCGCCCCTCATATTGACTGTGTTTGTTCATATTCAAAACACCGTTAGGAAAATAAAGGTCATTATAAGTCATGTGTATTATGTTTCGAGATAAATGGATTATACGCTTTTTTAAGTTTCCATTTTGCGGTGACTTCAGTTTACATCTCCATAAAATGGTAGAAGAAATATCAAGAAACATCACAAGAGCTGAAAATTTTCAAAGGCATGTTTCTGAAACTCGCTAATACTGACATGAATATAGCATGCTTGCTGAATGGGCGAAAACACAGAATTGTGATCACAAGATCATGTACAAGTTTAATGATAAAAGCTTAGCAAGATACAGATACAAACAAAAGCAAACCCCCTGACACCTCCACGTGGGCTACACTTGTGTGCTCTACTCAGTCACCAAACCTTGTCAGGTCCTATTTTCCTCAAGTCGCTCTTTGTGAAGCTCCCGGATGGGATGTCCCAATGAAGCTTTGAACTTGTGTGCGAAATTCTCAGAATTCCTATTTTTGTCCGTGTCTTCTTTATCCTCAGTATCCGAAATTTAGACCTCCAAAGTGGCGTGTGTTGCGTTAAATAGAAGGAAATTTTTAAATGAAAAGCCAGTTTTCTAACATGGCAAAGTTGTCACATATTCATCTGGACCATCTGCCATTTGTGGACAACTGAGCTGTTTGCTTCACTGACTACGACAGCTTACAATCAAGTCTTCAGCCATAGTGTCATCAATTGGTGAAATACTTTGCTCATAAATTGTGCTTATTAATTGCTTACGTACTACATCGATCGATAATTCTCTCTTTGAGTTCAAGAAGCGGCCACGGCGTTCCAAACCTGACACTCACAGTCATCTTTTAGTGTGAACCTACCGTGAACAGTGTGTCAGTTTGTATGTAATGTGAGCATTTCTCTGAGTTTCCCAGCGCCAACATCATCAACTGACTTAAACTCGAACACTAAAAAAATTATAGAGTGACTCCTATGATCGAATCGCTTCGAACAATGCAAATAGCCCTCTTCAGGTTGGCAAGGCCTTCTGGGTTTCTGGGGGGTGGGGGGCGGAGACGAGGTACAAAAAGTATCCGTGCAAGGGTTCGTGCAAGGGAAAATCCTATGAAACCATTTGTGAGAACATCATTTCTCGGTACCAGACCCTCGTGTCTTCCCTCCCCCGGGAGGCCATTTTTCTGCGCCGACCACCGAAAACCAAATTGATGACTGGGCCGCACAGGCAGCCCAGTAAAAAATTGAGTATGGCATGACCGTGATTCAAACCCGGGGCATAGGGACTGCAGATGATCACCTAAACCACTAAACTATAGAGTGTTCGCTGCTGAGTAATTGTTTGATTTCGATTTATTTTGCACCCAACCCTAACCCTAAAAAGAAGCTAACTGTTTCTCAGTGCTTAATCCTAATCAGTATGGTCAGTGCTTAACCCTAATAAGTATTTTCGTTGCTTAACCTTAATAAGTATTGTCAGTGCTTAACCCTAATCAATAATAGTCAGAATCCTGTCTGAATAGCAAATACAAGTCGGTGTATGGGTCCCGTATGAATAGCCACTAGGTATTTATATGTTAATAAAGTAAGAGGCAAAGTAGTACAGCGACAGTGTAATTCATCAATCTTTCTTTGCTATGTGTTTTAAATTTATTTACAGGGTGACTTTGTAGACAGAGGTTATTTCAGTTTGGAGACATTCACAAGATTACTAACATTAAAAGCCAAGTAAGAATTTTCAATCAAATTAAATTTTAACCTGTATGCATGTCTTATTTAATACAGTATAATTTAGAGGCCAAGTGTGACATGTGTGAGTGATCATTGTTTCACCAAGGACTAAGAGATAAGACCTTTCTAAGATTATGGCAGATTCCATGGCCTCTGCCAGATGTAAATACCATTGTCTAAATTTGGTGCATTTCATGATAAATAAGCTGACAATTGTGAGATTTTAGTTAGAATCTACAGCTTATTTATTGCGTTTTGAAAATGAACAGGATTATACATTTATCTGAAAAATGCAGATAGTCTTGATAGTTGCAACTATTAGGTAGCAGATTCATGTAGATGTTCTTATTGTTGAATTGGTGCACTGGGCATGAAATACACTGAAATCATATTGTAGGAAAACATTATTGGTAATTACATAGACTGGATGGTTTCAGTGGAAATGTTTGCCCTCATTTACATTGACACATGTACACTCAATGTTGTTTTTGCTTCAGATGGCCTGATCGTATCACACTTCTCAGGGGAAACCATGAAAGTAGACAGATTACCCAAGTTTATGGTTTCTATGGTATGCTATACTTACAGTCAACTCCATATGCCAGCTATTGGGAACTTTTAAAGAAGGGCATTGGCCTTATAGGGATTCTGAAAGAAAAGATAAAGGACTGACTAGAAGAACCCACACAACTGTTTGAAAAGAGTACGGGAGGTACCACAGACCTCAGTGGTGTGGCCAACCTATTCTGGGCTTAGCAATGAGTATCTCTGTTAAAAAAACATTAATCACACTCATCAAATAGTGGTGTAATGATTAATCGGATTCTTGATTAATCACGATTATGACCATTCGGTTTGATTCACAATTCTTTGCTTCCATGTTTCGATTTTAGTTCAATTTTTTTTCACCTTTTCCAGGGTGCCCTCAGTGAGTTATTATCTTCTCAAATAAGAATCCAGAACTCTTTAATGTGCGTTTTTGATTGACGAGCAAAGACAATAGCTGTTCGTTCGCATTTTGTGTTGGGGGGTAAAAATGCTGTCCTTCAACCTCCCCTTGAGAATTTCCAAATAAGGCAAACCATGTACGACACGCTCTTTGTCAGGTTCTCAAACATGGCAAAGAACCTAGCGACTGTGAATCCTCCTGTGCCTGTTGCCATTCTCATATTGAGGGTTTACGGTTGCATGTTGTTTACATTGTACGTTATGTTATAAAAACTAAGAAACATTTACATAATCGTATTGAATCGCATTGCAAAAAGTCAATCAATTTCCAGCGAAATTTGCCCAGAAAATTTCCATGAAATCTGCCGTTTTTCACCCATTGTTTTTTGGCGAAGTTAGCCCCAAAAATTCCCACGAATATGTCTCTGAAAATCCCTGGAATTTTGTCTTTTTTCGCAACTTATCAGATTAATCAGAAGCCCTGTAGCATGGCGCAACCCATCAGATTTGATTGTTTGAAAAAATTGCGGACAGAGGTCGGTATAAATTTGAAGGTAAACTGGCTTTGTTTATGCAATTTGGCACATTTTTTATGATGAAAGCAAAGCAAGATAGGATGAAATGTTTGTTTTAACTTGACTTATTTAATTTAATTCAAAATCATAGAGAAACCTGGTCGCCAAAGTGGCGACTAAGCCAGAATTTTTAGTCGCCAAGGAGAAAATGTTAGTTGCATTGGCGATAGTATCAGTCGCAATTTTGAGCCCTGAAACAGTGTATGTGAATAGAATATGCATCAATACTTGAAAGTACCCAGCACTGCCAAATTTGCCTCTGTCTGCTCTACGATAACATTTGTTCAATAATGAAAAAAGTGCGCATAATCTGAATATTTTTTGGTAATAAGGTGCAGCATTATTTTTTCAAAGAAATTTTGATTGATTGCTCTAAATCTGTTGTCATTTTGGAATTTGAGTACATGTATCTTCACATAAAAAAATTATAGATTCTTAAAGCTCTAGCTTGTTTTCATCTTTATCTTTGTTGTCAGTCCTAAGTATTTCTTCATCTTGTTAAGCTGAAAATTATTAATTAGACCAAATTGCAGAGTATCCAAAACAAATCAATATAAAATTGACTGTTTGAGCAGTGCTGTTGTACAATGTATGCTGGATAACCAGGTAAATTATTTCAGAGCATTTGAGCATAATATGTAAATAAACACTCCTTTCTCTCATTGTTCTGCACTTTTCCTCAGTTTTAACTGTTGCAAGTTGTTCTGCACTTGTTCCTTGATTTTAACTGTTGCAGAAAGCAACATAATGTGGTATGAAAAGGAGAAGAGCTGTTTCATAACTGGCGTTTTGATAGTAAAGGGCTTAATGATTGAATAAGTAAAATAACCTTCACATTGGTGCATTGTGCAAGCAAAAAGATCTGTTGACCACCGTTCCTGTATACTGCAACTGTAAGGCTCTTGTTGAAAAGTTTGGAGTGTTTGAAATTTGTAGGGCATGTAGTGCCCAGTGAAGTGGTCTATCTCACTTTCACACTCATGTATGGGGGCATCATTACTCATTCCTTTATTACTTGTAAACTGCACCTTAACCCCCAAGCAGCGTTCTAAATCATCCCTGAAAAGCCCTGAGGAGAGTGGATAATATGATATTTACATTTACATTTACAGTGTGGTAACAGAAACTCATAAGGGGTTGAAACGTGTAACTCTCATATGTTTGCTTTGTCCAATGCTCGTGATTATTCATTTTCAAAAGTACCATATTTGGAACGAGAAGAAGAGATAACTGATCAATAAAACTTCGTCAACAACGTGACGTAATTTTACTTCAGGTTCCCGCGCCCGCTTAAAAAAAATGGCCGACCAACAAACGGGGGAAAAACTCCCAAAAGCCGAGAAAGCTTTCAAAGGTTGAAACCAGGAATCGTACCGAAACACTGAGCAGAAATATATTATTGCCTTACCACCCGGGCCAAACGTAATATTATGAAACCCATTGACGTCTTCGCAACTTCCTGAAGTTGTCACTTCCAAAAACGATGCCTCGTTGACCCCCTGCACAGTAAACTTTTACTGCAAATAGGTTTTTAAAATTCTTATATTAAAAGTCTAGAATAAACAGTAAACAATATTTTCGAATAAAATTCAATAGCTGCGTATCGAAGAGTGTCCAAAACCTGAACCTGACATCTTCGCAAAAAGAGATGCGTGTAATGAATGTGAGAAGCATTTAAGCTTAAATTTGGCTTGGATGTTGTAGTCACGATCGTGTTTTGAGCTAATTTTATGAATGAACAAACTCAAAACAATAGACAGAGAAGCCGTTTCTTGAAAATTTTTATTCAAAATCCAAAACGTTAATTCTTTAAAGCAACTCGGAAAACACTATCTGGATCGTGGATCTGTTCACGCAAGTGAAATTGGCTGAGCACATGGCAAAATTCAACACAAAATCCATCTCAAATCGGGGCACATTTTGTAATTTTTCTTTAGCGCCGAAGAGAAAAATTTATAAAACGTCTATGAAACATTTAAAAATACATAAATTCCGTTTCAAAAACCAATTGTCTAGGCCATAGAGTGCAAAATGTACCTCAAAATTCAGCAAAAACGTCACTGCCTTGGTTGCATTTTAAAACAGACCATGCGCTCCGTCGTGAAGAAAACAAGGTTGAATTCCTCAAAGGACGATTTCTTGATGAAAAGCTTCCCTTCCTCCACAAAAAGAAAGCTGAGCATTCTTTTTAACTTTCTCTTTCCATTTTTTGTCTTTTAACAGTGTATTTTTAACCCTGAAATGCAGAACTCTTGTCTTAAAACACCTGCATGGTGATCACGCGGCAGCCATTTCGTTGAAAATGGATATCTGTCACTGAGGTTTCTAAATATGGTAAAAGTGAATATTCACGAGCATTGAACACGAGTTACATGTTTTAACCCCTTATGAGTTTCTGGTGGTAACCAAGTGTACTTTTTATAGCAAATCTGTCAAATTTGGGCAGAGGTACTGCATTGTGAAATATCAACACCAATTAGAAACAGAGAAACATATTGATTGACTGATAAAGGTTATTATTACAGTGTAGTGACGATATTTAGTTTTAACATGATGTAGTTATTGATTATTTCTTTTACATAATTTTTTGTATGTTGTTATTTTACAGATGAATGCCAATCAAAGTATGGGAATGCAAACGCTTGGAGATATTGCTGTAAGGTGTTTGACCTTCTAACTGTTGCAGCTGTAAGTGTTCCAGTCGAATTCATTTTAAAATATCTCCCCTGAATAATGTTATCTTACACTGTGTATTGCTCTGCTCCATTTTTTCTCAGATTTTTTAAGCATCTCAGCAAAGATATCCACATCCACAAAATGGTGTCAGCCTTGAGAAGTTTAACATTATGAATACAACGTGTTTGAGTGGTCATTTTCCTTTTATAGGAAGGGTTAGGTTTCTTCATCAGAGCAAATCTGCACTATTTGCTCTGATGAAGGGTTAAGGCTCAAAACAGACATGTTATCTTCTCAATTCCCCTACAGTTGCCAATTTGCCTTATCAACTGTTTTGATAAAACTAAATTCGTAATATAATTTTTCTTTTACATGTAGGTCATTGACGGGCAGATTCTGTGTGTTCATGGTGGTTTATCACCAGACATCAGAACCCTTGATCAGGTGAACAGATATCATTTTACATGTATATGTATATTAATTTATAGCAAACATAGTCATACATTTCATTGTCACCTTTTTAGGCAAGAAAAAATAATTATATATATATTTATTATATAGACACGAGTGTTTTACTGGAAAATATGCCACTTGTAAAATTCATAAAAACTACATCCGGGACCCAAATGGTTTATTTTCCATAATCTCACACGTGAGTTTATCGATAACATAATTTCGGTAATTTTCCTTCGAAATTTGTAGGTGTCTTGCGTCTTTTGAATTTTACTCGCACATTTTCCAAAGTGTTGCTTATATTTTGTCATTGTAGAGCCCTATTCAGCTCAGTGTTACTTCTCCAGATTATTATAACCAATGTCTTATATTGCTGTACTGTAAATCTGAGCCGTCACAATTACTTTTTGGCGAATAAAAATCTGTTATTTTATCGATGTCTTTTTGTCTATATAATAAAAAGAACATTACACGGCAGCTTGAAGATATGAATTTTATTTTCCCATTGCAAAAACAATATTTTACTCACTTGCTGTGCTCGTTCGTAAAATATTGTTTTGCCACTCGAAAATAAAATTCATATCTTTGCACCACCGTGTAACATCCTCTATATATAAATATGTAAACCAGCACTTCACTAAAAGAATTTCATGTATAATTTAAAGGCCATGACCCCAGGGTTCGCACAGTCTTGAAAAGTCCTTGAATTTTAGGGGAAGTCCTTGCAAAGTCCTTGAATTCCATTTTTCCTTGAAAAGTCCTTAAATTTCTGTGCAAGTCCTTGAAAAGAGCTTGAATTTTCTTCAACTTTGAATGTAGTAGCCTGGAAAGAATTTTTTGATGCTTTTTGCTTGTCCAAGACAGAATATAAATCGTAGCTCAGTGAATGTAAAGGTCATTTACATAAAGTGCTCCATGTTTTATGCAATAATTAACTATCAGTTTAAGACAAGTGAACTGAAAAATGTAGAGAATTTGGTGAAGCAAACAGTTAAAGCCTTAAAGTCTTATTAGAATATACTGGGAATATGCATTTTTGTACAATCTGTGAAATTATATTCCTAGTAGGTTGTCCTTGAAGATCTAATGTGGTCCTTGAAAAGTCCTTGAAAAGTCCTTGAAAAATAGTTGCAATTTTTTGTATGAACCCTGGACCCAGGTTCAAATACTGTTTTTGAGTTTTTTCTTTATTGAACACTTTTTGACTGATCTCAAGGCTGTGCTCTAAGAAGAATTGAAAGAAGCCCAATTCCTTGAACCTGTGAAATCCAAGGTGCCCAACATATAAGTTCAATGAAAAAACTAAGATTCCCTACATTGTAGTTGCCCAAGGGCAAAAGTGAGGTACCAGGGGCCAATGGGCACCAGCAGAGCACAGCCCTGGAATTTTTAACTTACCATACAATAATATTACAGGTAATTTATGTGTGTACCGGTATATGTCGTGTCAGTTTTGTTTTTAGTATTACTGAGAAGTAGAGTATAGTGTTGTGACAAAGTTACAGTTATTTTTTTCACTGAGAGTGGTACAATGTTGTTTGTAACCTTTTCTTATGTTTTCCTTCAGATTCGAACAATAGATCGTAATATGGAAATTCCTCACAAGGGAGCTTTTTGTGATATCCTTTTATACACAACCACATGTTCAACTGTTAAAGGGACACAGTCAGCTGATGCACATGCTTGTTAGATACAATTTCTTAGCTGATTAATGTGCATATCACGAGACACATGCGTGAAACAGAATATGAGATGCGCAATTTTTGGAATATGTAAACAGACCTTGTGGAGTTGAATTAGTAATTAACAAGTCAAAATTGTAATTACAGACCCTAAGTCATATCAGAGCACTCATTTTCTATACACCATTGAATTGCATCCGGAGGTCGCTTTAAAAAGAGTACTCCCTTGTATAAGCCATACAGGTATATGCCACCCCAAAGGGTGACATATTTTGGTCTGAAATAGGGCGGGATTTGGAGAACTGGGCGGCACACCCCACCAAGAATTCCCAGGAGTACATCCTCGCCCCCTGACTATTTTTCCAAATCTTTGTTTATGGCGACACAGTTTATGCTCAAACTTGGGAGGTATAGACCATAAAAAACTTTAGTGAGCCACCTTAAAACTTTTCTGGGGGAGCATGCCTCCAGACCACCCCCCCCCCCCAACCCCCCAGAGGGCAAGGTATGGAGGACCTTGCAATTCCTACTCTGAAAAGTTGTGAAAACACTGGTCCCCCCACCTTCAAGTAACATAGACCCTAAAGAAAACATCAGTTTCCTTATTTGAAGGACACTTATGCCTAGGTATTGTCCTTAACATTTGGCACATCTTGTGTGGTCTGACCCCGAGGATGTGGATACTTGGGCCATCAGCCCCAGGGGAGCAGGATGGCTGTTTGGTGCAAAAGTTACAAATGAGGTAAAAGATGTGCAGTGTTCACCCATAATATAACAACTAGCAAACAATATATGACATGGTGTGAGTCATGACTGCATTTTGAGTCGGTCATTGCTTAAAAAATGAAATCTTGTTTCTATGTACCTACTCATTTTTTTTGTCTCTTTGTTATCTTTTATTTAAAAAAACACTTGTTTCTGACAGTTTGAAAAGAAGCTCACTTTTTTAGTGCTTATAAAAGTACACTGTATCCTTATTTTCTCAACCTTTATCAACATGACAAGTATAAAAGTTGCCCTTAAGACAAGTTAAAAGAACATTGGTAAATTGGAAACTGCTCTTTCACACCAAAATGCTTTACAGGTAGTTGTTTCTTTTATTGAAAGTACTCATAAAAATTATGAGTACTTTTAGTAAAAAGTGTGGTTGCAGTGCACATGCATGAAATATGCCTATTATCAGAGATAAGGGAGAGACATTTTCTTTCAGATTTCCTGTAACTTTGACTGTTCTTACCTTTCATTTTTGGTAGAGAAGGGCTAAAGAAGTGGCTATTCACTTTGTAATCCTTGTTTTCTTTTCACAGTTTGTCCATATCAACAACTTGAAGTTGATCTGCCGTGCCCACCAGCTGGTCCATGAAGGGTACAAATACATGTTTGATGAGACGCTGGTGACTGTTTGGTCTGCTCCTAATTATTGTTACCGTTGTGGAAATATTGCTTCTATATTAGCATTCTCAGATGCGGATACCCGTGAACCCAAGCTATTTAAAGCAGTACCTGACTGCGACAGGGTGATACCACCCAGAACAACCACGCCTTACTTTTTGTAAATTGCTCTACATATAAATTGACTGGTTGGAGTAGAATATTTTACAAGAGTATCTACGCAGTCGAACCTCTAATAAGTTAGTAAAGGACGCCTGAAGGAGAAGGAAAGATTGAGTGGATCCTGCCCCTCAGTTGTTCAAAAGGTGGATAACGCTGTCCAGCGAGTAAATCACTGTTCACTGGATAATGCTATTGTTTTCCCTAATACTTATCGTTGGATAGTGATTTGTCCGGTGGATAGCCCTATCCAACTTTTGAACAACTGGGGCCTGGTCTGGAACCCTTATGTGAAAGGTTCCAAGTGAAGGACATCAGTGATACAGAGGACTGTTCTGATGTACAGTGTATAGTTCTATATTGATGTCATTTCTGCGGTTAGCATCCAGGTAGTTTGATTTTGAAATGGCTGGTTTTGAACGGTTTTCTGGAATGACAGATGTCGGTCAGTGGACCTCCAGACGTTGTTCTAGTCTCTACTATACTCAGTTTGTGCGTATACAGTCGTTTTGCATACCTTTTTGGTACGCCAGACAACGTTTGGATATTAAGGTTGGCCAAACTGAAAACGGCTTAAAACGCTATTTTGTTAAACACCGTCTAATCTCTGTTTTAGTGGCCAGCCCTAGGAGTCAAATCATGTCTAAGGGCGTTTCCAAAAGTCAGAACTGGCCGGCTAGACCGGGTCATTTTGAAAATAAAACGTTAGTCTTTTCTTGAAATTTTTAGCGGAGCTCTCGCGCGCGAAGCGCGCCAGCGGAGCACCATGGGTAAGAAAATGAAGTAATCTACCCATCCGAGAAAATTCGGTAATCCCGTGACCGTACACCGCCCGCTCGAGAGACCGTCCGTCCGCACCACAGGCATACCAGTGTAAAATAACTCAATCAAGAGGTATGGCAACCCAAATGCAACTCGAGGTTATTTTGGCGGGAAATCGCATAGCCACCGGCGTCTTGTAAAGCAGACACAACAAAAGAGTCAATAGAGACGAAAACGGAAGGCGGAAATTGTTTCTGTATCCGTGTTGTCTAAAGTATTAAGCTTAGATAAATTGTCATGTCCACAAATTTGGAATATAGAGCAAGAGAAAGAGAGA